TGTGTCTGGATAAGTATAAGCTGAAATGTATTGTGTTTTAAGAAACTAGGTACATATAATCCATTCTTCTATGATATTTAATTTTGTTAGTATTTTAAAAGTAGCATGTTTTCGTGCTGCCAATTTAATCTATTGAATATAACAAATTATATTTATTACAAGAAGTATCTATAAGATTAAACAATTGAAAAATAATACTTAAACTATCAAAGAATCGGGCTTGCGAGTCAAGCATAATAAGGTACTGTGACCCCGGCCTGTAGAAAGACAAGGAACGAGATGATTTTTATTCAATAAGAGTCTGACACTCCAGACGAAGTTCCGGGGTAAACGCAATGAGGCACCACGGCTCTCGACCCAGAGCAAGAGAAGCTACAGGAGGGATTTAATCAGCAAGAGTGTGACACTCCCATCGGCCAGCCCTGGGCGGGAGAAGACATTTGATGATTTTCCCCTAACAAAAAAAAAGAAAAGAGTCTGACACTCCTTCTCGCTTCACTCTGGGCGAGAAAAACGTTCTAAAAGAACAAAAATAAGAAGTCTTAAATTTTATTGACTAATCGAAACAACGATTATCTCATTTAATAATTAAATTTAAAGCTTAGTTTTAGTAAAACAAATGTATCAAGGAATAACGCTGAGATCGCTAAATATCTAAATGCATTGATGACTGGTTGATTAAGATAGCCAATTCCTTTGATTGGCACAAATAAAATGGATGCGGGTGGCATTTTATTTTATTTTAGCAAAATATCATTAAAAATCGCGTCACGCTCAGCATGAGTCACTTTCTTTTGCCGAAAAAATCTAATGAATTGTGTAATCTAATAAAATATTTGTGTGTGAATAAAAAATGAGTCGATTCCGAGAGCAATCAAGTTGGACAAGTAAAAATTGGTTAGCGTTAGAATTCGCGGCGGCAAAGAAAAATAATGTAAGTAAAATCGAAGCTTTTCGGTCATTTTGTAAAGGTCTGACTGTCTGGCCACCATCTTAATTTGTATTAGCCTAGTAAATACTACAATTATTTTCTTTGCTCCCAAAGAAAGCAATCAATAGTTAAGGTCATTTTGAAATGAACTCAGTAGGTACTCATTGACTTTTCAAGGCACCAAGTTAAACAAATTCTTGTATCGGTCTCCCATGAAGAAACTTTGCAGTTCTTTATTGCAGACTATTCAATTATAATTCAATGATAGATAGTTTATTTAATTATTTACAATGTGCTTGATAACGTTGGTAGATAGAAAATAGAAAAATCTTTTTTTTTCCAGACAACCTTCGTAATGTTAACGACAATGGCAGAATAATTTTATCCTGCATTAGAAAATAATTTTATATTATCTGGATTCTATGTACCTGCATCACTACATTTTAGGTGTCTAGTTTTACTTATGAGTTGTCTGTAAATCAGGAGTAACGGACGAGTTAGATATTTTATCGAACTACTATTATACTAAAATGTGGTCTATACTATCTTTCTCCCTTGTTCCATGAGTGCGTTTACAAACATACAATTTTACACACACATGACACCCAGAACAGTCATAGTGGATCACAAAAAGAGATTTTCCATGCAAAAGTCGACAGGGGAAACCAGTTACCCGGCCATTGCACCAACTGTACTTAATTTAATTAATAAATAAACTCAACTCACACATTATTTTCCATTCATGTTCGAAACAAATATTTGTATAGAGAATTCTTTAATCATCGCTTTAAATAGTACAACAGTTCCTATCACTTATCTTTGTTATCAGTTATTTAATTTGGAAGTTAAATAATAGACGTTTATTTTACTAAACGCGTGAAACTCCACACTTCGCAAACAATACAAATAAATGTACAATATTATTACATCGAGTACAGTGTGTAACAGCTGACTAGAGATATATACGTTTGTATTAGTATTAATTTGACGACACGGATCTCTTATAAGATAGGAACTGGGAAACCGTCTGCTCTTTCTGCGAAGCATTGATGCTCAAAAAGGAGGAGGCGGACACGCTAGGGATCTATCCTCCTCACACCTGGCCACCGTAAGCGTGGGTCTGCTGTCGGCGATCAAGGGTAGCTTGCCACCCGACCAGAATCAGACCCCTGTGGGCAGTGCGTAGCGCTCCGCGCGAGCCTCAAAGAGCCAGTAAATCAACAGGGCCTCGGCCTGAAGTAGTTCGATATTAATTATATATGTATATTATGAAGACACGGGATATTAATTATACCTCTTACTAATTTGAAATTCAATTTGTAAACATTTGTTTCACGACTGGAAAATCATCAAATTTGTTTTGCGCTCTGGGTTAGGCGATAAGGAGTGACAGACTTTGACTGAATTAAAACCAACCCATTGTTCCACCTGGTCCAGGCCGAGGTCACAGTACATTATTGCGCTTGACCTGCAACCTCGGTAGGCTGTCTCTTTCTACTCTTTATGTTTAGGGTGATAATTATGAGCGTAAGGCGCATAGCGTTCCGCGCGCACCTCAAAGAGACAATAGACACAGACGGGACCCTATAGGACTGATGTTCAGCTGGAGTTGCGGGGTAAGCGCAATGAGGCACTGCGACCTCAGCCCAGAGCAGGAGAAGGAACGGGGGTGTTTTGGTCAGTAAGAGTCTGACACCACCTCCCGCCCGGCCCGTGGCGGGAGAAGTCATTTGATGATTTTCCCCTCACGAAAAAAGGCGATAATGATGAAGCTAGCCTAAATGTAGATATAAGCCCCTTTTTGTACTATCATAGACGATTGTAATAATGTCAATTTTCATGGCAATACAAAATTTACGATTTAAAGTATGTATGTACTAAAAAATTTAAAATATGTTCCCCATATTTCAGTACGGTATATATTTTCTTAAAGTTTTTTTATGGCTTGACTGTTTTTTTGTAACTATGAGTTTAAATATTTGTATAAGCTATGAACTGGTCTGAACTTTCAGTTAAAACTAGTTATGACAAGATACGTTTGTTTTTTGATAGGTACTTTGATACGTTTACAAAATGACTGTATACCGCATTGCGCAATATTTATAGAACGCAATAATTTATTAACCATTATAATATTGCGCAATAATTTACTTGCTACAAGAAACAATGAAATTTTGATTTTTTTAACAATTTTAGTAGTGAAACATAAATAATGACAATATATCTATACTTTTATACTCATGACACACCATGTAAAATGTTTAATTATACATTATATAGGTATAAACATATTAAAATTATTTATTCAAATAATGTGTTTTAATACTTTCAGTTTATCTTGTATAAAAAAAATATTTTGTCATTCAAAAATCTCTGATGAATATGATTCGATACTTAGTCCAAACCAGGAACATAAAAATAAACTTTCTTACCAAATCATCCCATAGCTTAGAGACGAAAATAGTCAAATTTATTCCTATTTAGGGCTGATTTTTCAATAATGTGATACATTTTATCTGAGGAGTATAATTGTTGCTGTCACTGTCTTATAAAAACATTCTGACGCGACAGCATCATAATTATCCCGCAGATAACTTTTATCTAACCATTGAAAAATCAGCCCTAATTTATCGAACGAAATACTAGCGAAAAGAGACTTTATTTTCCAATATAGACAGATTTAGTCGAGAGCCCATTTTTGAAAAAAGAAATCGATACATAAAAAATAATCGCTTCTGGCACGTACGCTTTCAGTTGTAACTAAAATAAGAGCCCCAGTGGTTTCCAATACAGCTAACTTTTTATTTTTAGAAACTTTGATATTATTGTATATTGAGGTCACGAGAAAATAGGTAGACTTAGTTTTTGTAATATAGTCCTAGTTTTTTACTTGATGTTTTTGCTATACTCATGTTATAAAGAGGTAAAATTTATAAATTTGTATGTAGGGGATAATCTTTGGAACCGCTGGTCGGATTTCCAAAATTCTTTCACTGATAGGTAGCTGCAATGTTCCTAAGTGATATAGGCTATAAAACATCACGCTACTATTAAATAGAGCAGAGCAGGGGGTGAAACCGCGTGAGAGTAGCTTATTATGTTATATGTCAGCAAACGAGCAGACGTATTACTTGATGGTAAGCATCGGCTTCGCCCTTGGGCACTCTTTATACCAAAGGAGTTACTTACTATAAATATAGTACTTACTATGAATATAGGGGCTTCACTAACATTGCACACACGGCGAAACCCAACGTTCAATGTTTCTCGCGCTGGTTTTCACAGAAAAAGTTGTGTTTGTATTAGACTGATCGAGCCGGCCCATTCATGCCGAAGCATGGATCTTTCACACTTGTGTTGCAATAGGCCTTAGGGTCCAAGTAAAGTAATGCTATTTTTAGTAAGTATTCTTTTCTGTGCATTTTATTTGCAAGTTTTGAAGCTCCATCTTATGCAGGAAAAGTGAGTGCCCGCATTCTTATGTGTTGCAGTATACATCAGTATCCACAACAGTGAAACAAATAGTGAACTTCCGATAAAATTTTAAGCCTTGTACTATGTCCAAAACTCTAACTGATTTGCTTAAGTCGTTGAAGAGTAAAAGCGAAATATGAGGGTCAGAAAAGAAACAACCACACAATCTGAAGCAGCTCACAAGCATAAACAAGACGTTACCTTATCTATCGTGGCTGTATTCTTGTAAGATAATGTCTAACAAGTTTAGTGATACTATTCATAAATTAATTATGACTTATGAAAGAAAACAAAATTGATGTCAAAGTAAAACAAAGAAATTACGTAAAACCCAAATGTAACCGAAACAGTCCTAGATCTAATTGGTAAGCAAATCCTGCCAATATTATAAACGCGAAAGAATGAATATTGATAATGTAAGGATGATATATTTTTCACCTAAGAACTACTTCATTATGATCCGTTCAATCTTAATGAAGTTTGGCACAGAGATAGATTATAGTCTGAAATACATTGGCATTGGCAAATCCGTTGGTAAAATCCCGTATTACTTTTATTTTATAAATTCATATTCATTTCAAATTTTTGCGCTTACCTCTTTCCCTTTCAGCTAATGCTGGTAAATCCAGGTCACTCATTTTTTGAATTTCGACTCACTATTTATTTTCAAAAAATGTTTTATCAACGCACTATTTCGCGTACTTCTCATGTCAATGGCAGCCTTCTTAATAACATTGTATCGTAACATGATGTTATATGACGTAAAAATTATTTATCTTAGAATTGGCCTTGTTGTCACAACTAATTAGTCTTGATCCTTGCGTTGTCTAACTTGCCTTTATAATATAGAGAGACTGAGAGGTCTTGGTCGTTGGTCGCTTTCAGCAAGTAAATCAAAATGATAAGGCTATAGGTAATTATACTTTTCCTGAATTGCTACTGTTTGTATTTAGTTAACATTACTGTGATTTATGTTAAACAAAATTACGTAGTACATACCTATCTTACTTGTATGACGCAAACTTTGATTTAATTTAATTGTGAAATAGGTACACAAACGGAAACGTGCAGCATTACAATATGAGTGCTACATTGCCAGCCCTTCGGGTAGATTTGGCCACCTCCCGTTTAACCACATTCACACAGAAACTGAGGGCACTAGGACACCATGGCTTCGACATAGAGCAAGAGAATGATGGGTTAGTAAGTAAGACTCTGAAACTCCCTCTCGCCTCACCTTGGCCGTGAGAAGTCATTGGATGATTTACACCTCACAAAAGAATCGTTTTACGCCTGTTTTGTGTACCTACACTACAAAAACTTTGGTACCACTCCGGTCAAGCCGGCCCATTCGTGCCGAAGCATGGCTCACTTACAGCTATGTGTGAATTATTGATCGATAACGTCCCACGTCCAATCTAACACCCTTGTAGTATCTTGCCCTACGCACAGCTGACGTCACTCATCCACTTCCGCTTGATAAAAGTACCTTCTATCGTCCGGAAATGAATACTGATAGAAAGTACAGGGTGTTACCAAAACTTAAACCTAAAGGAGTACAACTGATATAAAACCAATACAGCGTGTTCGAGTTTTAAATAAATAAATATTCAAATTGGAATTCAATTTTAATAATGTTGATTACATTTGATCAGAAAAAACGTGTCTATGGAATAGTTTGTGTATTCATTGTATTTTTTATTGAAAAAAATTAGTCTATGGATCAGTAGGTTATTACAAGGATCACGTGGCAAGTTATTCGCGTCGCCCACGGAAACGTGAAGCACAAAATGTGTTACAGTAACTGGCCGGCCCTTTGGTGAGTAGTTGGATTTTAAGATTGGATGTTTGGGGATTTTTTTTTTAATGTAATAAGTAGGCAAACGAGCAGACGGATTACCTGATGGTAAGCAATCAACGCCGCCCATGGACACCCGCAACGGAGGAGTTACGAGTGCGTTGCCGACCTTTTAGGGATTAGGGATTTGGAGATTTAGGGATTGGGCAAGGGTCCGGGAAGGGGAAGAATTGGGCATCCGGTAACCTAACTTACACAGCGAAACACATAGTATTAGTTGTTCCACGCCAGTTTTCTGTGAGGCCGTTGTATCACTCCGGTCGAGCCGACCCATTCGTGCCGAAGCATGACTCTCCCACGTTTATATCCTTTCTGTAGCACCTTGTACACAATATTTGGTTCAGCAGGTGTATCGCCTACTCGATTGCTCATCTAATCATAATCGTCTTACATAAAGCGATCTCTATTACTTATAGTTACAGTTTCACTAATCTCCTTTGACGCAGCTTTCGGATCTCTGTATAATATTACGAACTGTTCTATAAGTTGTGATATGATAGTTCAGGATTGATGTGTTTTGTACCAAAATATTGCTAAGTTTATGTATTTTCATTACTTTGTTAGTCCAGTGACTGCATGGCATGACCGTCGAGCTACAGATTTAAGGTTTAGACTCCAGATTTTGTCAGAAAATATTTTCGGCATCCTGAAAATTCTTAGTACAGCATAAAGATAGAAATTTAGCATAATAGCGTTTACGTGGTATACACAGGTTATAAAACCATTGAACCAATTTTGGTAAAACTTAGAACTTATTTGCACGTGTATAACATTTAATGTATTTCAAAATCAGCAGCGTTTAAATGTGGTTTAAAACGATAGCTAATCAAGTATAATTTATAACCTATAGCACTCAGGAACATTATAGCTATCTTTCAGTCAAGGAATTTTGAAAATCCGAACGATTCCAAAGATTACGAAATACAAAATTACTAAATTTTACCTCTTGCTTTATAATTTAATAAGTAGTATATTGAGGTATTGAGTTCAAAAAATGTAATTAAGTACATTTTACATTTTAAACTTGACAGTGTAAGGAATTTTGCGATTCGTACACTTCATTCTTACTCTACTCTACTTCATAACTGGTGAAATGTCATGCATTTGAAGATTAGGAGGACATAGATATTGATTCACTATCCAGACTTACAAAATAGTCGAATTTTTGTCGTATAAATTTTGCTGTATAGGTAAAACAGTTCGTGCACACGAATCCGAAATGGAACATTGTCACGTGTTCCATAAGGACCACTACAGATGTCCATATTGCCCATTCCATTTTCTACGCACGTTATCGCGAAAAATCTCAACGTGGTCCGTTCGGTTGGACTCTCAGCAATGCACGCATCGCCGAATCGGATGTACAACACAGGACTTTGAGGATAAAGGATCTTTCGAGGGAATTCGTGCATGTTCGTGTCCGTACTGCTCAAATACGCTGTCTATTCCCAGCAGGCTTAAGTTTTTGGGATGTGTTCATATAGGGAGGTGTAGATGGAGGATTGTCTTCATCATCTATATGTACATGTTCTTGGTTGTTAGTGGATAGATATTTAGAATTGCTGCGTCAATTCTGATCACTAAAATAATTATCAAAGGATAATATAAGATGAAATGATCTTTTCATAAGATGATTACAAAATTTTAGACGTCATGAAATCATTAAAATGTTTGTTTAATTATTTTTAAACCGTCTTTAGGATTTTTCTCCTCTGTCGTGGATGCATTTATTAAACTATAATTTCACATACACATCAGACTCAAATCCGGTACAACAATTTCTGGATAAAATAGGTTTTTCTATGGTCAGCTAACGAACGCACGACACGTCGCACGGCAGCCATTCGAGCCGTCACTACGACCTGTGCATTCTAATAAACTAAATCCAAACTCTTCAAAAGCAAATAGTGTATTCTTTTCAACAAGGAAACCAGTAATAAACTCAACAATCGTAGGTAGCTGTTTGTCATTCCTGAATCTGTTGCCACAATAGACTTTGCATACAACCTGTCCATAGATAGGTATACAAGGAACATCGAGAGAATGGTTAGTCGTCAACAGAGCCATTGTTCACTCGAGAACATTCGATCTGATTTAATTATTTAATATTAAAAGAAGCGGCCGATTGAGAATGCCTATTATTGTGAAGAATACCTTTATAAAACTTATCGTCATTATAAATGAAAAGGCTTGAAGGTTTAAAAATGATGGACGTGTTTCACAAGTTATTGAATATACCGACTAACGTGATTGAACTAAGAGAAGCTCTACTAGTTTCAAATTACAACAGGACTCATATTCATGAGCAGCGTGAGCGTCGCGTGGACGTCATACAGCTGACTGATAACTCGAGCTTGTGTGCTCATCGCGTTGCATACATACATACATCATCAGCCTATAAGTGCCCACTGCTGAGTAAAGACATCTTCTCACACGGAGAAGGTTTGAGCATTAATCACCATGCTTGCGGATTGACGAATTCAACTTAAAATTACAAAATTAAAGGTCCAGGTTTTCTCACGATGTTTTCATTTAATGGTCTATATAACCATAGAAAGTACACATAACTCAGGAAAAGTCACATTCGTATTTGAAATGTTTCGAACACGAGCCCTTATGCATGAGAAGCGGGCCACCACGACCACAACAATTAATTCCCGGGAGAAAGCCGTTATTTTTTTTAATAAATTTTGATTGCAATTTGTATGAACTACAATCTGCTTCATAACTTTATCGACTACTTAGAATGAAGGCAGTGAAACAGGACCCAGGGATGAAATATAAAGGTTATTATTTCATAATTATAATATATTGTTGGCACTTTTTATGATATTTTTCAACTGAATACGCAACTCAGTTTGTTTGTATTATGTGGATTTTCTCAAGTTCTCTCCATAAACATCAGTCGTGATGTTACTTGAATAAACTTATTAATGAAAATGGTTTGAAAATTGGAAAATAAAAATGCAACTCAATATAAATAGATATTTAGGTATATTTTAAGCATTTTGCCTTAAATACTAAATTAAACTAATAAGTACTTTATTGTTTCTTCTTTGGTAGGAATACAGTTAATATCACGACAACTGAAACAAGAAAAAGTTTTAAAATTAACGATAAAAGCCTCGTATTTATTAAAGCCAACGCATTTGTGACTTCTCTAGTGTTGTGGGTGTCCATTGGGCGACATCAATTGCTTACCATTATTGCTTAATATTCTATATAAAGCAGGATATCATCAATAACATAGTTATGTTAGGCAAAAGGCATATCCACTCCTTAACTTTTTGCTTAACAATGAATTTCAGTGGTCAGTAGTCTGTAGTAAGAGGGTCTCAGAAGCTTTTGCCCATAATTTGGTATGTAACACCACACATATTAAAATCCAAAACAAAAATTCAAATTTCAAAAATGTACATTTTTCTTTGCGTTTTGTACGCAATCGTTTGTTGAGACGTCATGATTATTTTAACGCCCAGCAAAATACTAAGAAAATTAAAAATAAACTCGAATTGCAAAAACGAAACAGTTACTAGTTTTAGTGTACTTTAATTGCGTTGAAAAGTCGAAATTATTTATTATTTACTAAGCCAAGTAAATAATAACTAATTCAGATGATGACTGACTAAATTACTAATAGAAGCTACATAAAACATCTCATCAGACATCAGGTAAAAAAGTTATGATTAAAAAGTCAGTTTCCACAATCCAACGTTCACAGCAAAATAATCCTAATGTTCACAATTTTGTATACAAATACGTCACAAAACTCGATTCACAGTCTCAAACAGAATGTCCAGTACAATGTGATTTACATGTAAAATGTTAAATAGGAACTAGATGCTTCCCACAGCTTCTAGTTGGGAAATATTTTGCATATTAAAGTGAATTTCATAAGAACAGGTAGTGGTTTTAATGTCGATGCATTATGGAAGAGCTGGAGCGCAAACATTTTGTGGTAATTTTAGAAAATTGCATGTAAAATGCAAAGTTTACATACTTATATGGAATAACCTGGTTGTTGATTTTGTTAATGGTTTGCTGAAATGGTATTTTTAAAGTAAAAGTAAGGTCGGCAAACAATTAGCTGGTTCACCTGATGATGATGGTAAGTTATGAGCATCGAACTATGCCGTCAATGGATTTGGGATTTTAATTACGGAATCAAGATTACGGAGATAGGACATGGTATGGAGCTATAGAGATGGTAACTACTGACAGAAACTGATAACAATGAAAATAACGAGAACATCTATTTAGCGTATGATTAATTGGCTAACCCTCCTATAATTATAAAAGCGAAAGTTTTTTAAGTGTGTTTGTACGGAAATATAAATATTCATTACTCTTTACAAAGAGATACTGAACGGATCTAATAAAAATTTTGCAAAAATAGATTATAGTCTACTTTTTACCTGACAAAATTGTTGATAAAAAACGTATAAAACTTACATCCCATGAGAGCAGACATCGTGTAGAAAGGTATGGAACAGCCCATGGCTAGCAGTATGGGGAATGCGACGTTGCCGACCAGAGTCCCCATACGAGCAGTCAACATTACTAGAGACAGTGATAGCGTCCTGGTGAAAAGTAAAAAATATATCAGTAATACAGAATAATTATTATATGCACTACAAATATTTTGAATTGAATAGCATTAGACGTTTAATCATAGAATCTGTATACTTCAACGAAAATAATCTACAATTGTGACTGCAACAGAGCCAATTCTAGGCGAACTTATTGTTTTTTTAATTGCGTTTATAGTAAAGAGTTTTTCGAGCTTAAAAGAACTTTATATTATAATGAAATAAAATTAAAATATCTATGCAAATATTATTATGCAAACGCGTTAATGTTCGGATTTAATGGTTCGAATTAAAAAATATTTTTTCGGGTGAGTTAATTAATTAATCGTAGGAGGTAGGAGTAATACAATTTCAATTTTCATTTTACATTTCATTCCAAACTTCGACTAAGAGGATCTGAGCAGCTAGTCACACCAATAGGGAATATACATTATTTTCTTGAAGAATAAAAAATAAATATATATACTTACCTCATAGCAGTAGGAAAAACCTCAATCAGAACAACTTGTGTCAAACTCTTCATCGTCTGAGTAACTGCTATATTCGAAGAGAAGAATGCTACCATCATTGTCTTGGAGTTCGACCATTTCAGGCCTAGCAAGGATCCGCTGGAAATTAGACCTCCAACGAACAGCAAAACTTTTTTCCCAACCTTATTCACAATGACCCCACTGATGAAGTATGGCAGAAGGCTTATAAGGCCTATAATTATACTGTTGATATACGTTTCTGAACCGCTCACGTGCTGAAAGGAAAAAGGGTATATATAAAGTAAGCAATAAAGTCGGAAATTGAGCAAGGGTTTCAATCGAAATAACTGGCCAAGTTTTGGAATTCTCAAGAGTTAGTTTATAAAAATAAAGTGGGTTAAAGAAATTTACTTTTGAAAAATTTTAGTCAGTAAAAAATCCTTTGGATCGTAAAACATTTTAATACTTCAGATTTTCTGATGGCAAGCAATCGCCGCCCATTGACATTCGCAACACCAGAGGAGTTACGAGAGCATTGCCGGCCTTTTGGGGATAAGGGTTTCGAAGATATATGGATTGGGGGGGGGGGGGGGGGGGAAGTAGGATTGGACCTCCGGTAACCAAACTCACACAGCAAAACACAACGCTGTGGTTTTTTTCAGTTTTCTGTGTGACTAAATATTGGTAGAATCGACATAAATATATTAAAACTGACATCCATGAAAGATAATGTCTTTGATCAACGAGTAAATTTAAAAGTTTCGACAGTTGAAATTGATATTAATAAAGGTAGTGCCACGATAAATAATGGAGGTCATTGCGGTTTTAGAACTTACACCGCAATGCTAAGGGTGTGTGTAGTTCCCAACTAAACCGCGTCAAATTATTGTGGGGGAGCTATTTGCCGAAGCACATTTCCCTTAATTGGATGAGTTTAGCTTTAAACTTGGTATCACTTTGTTAATTAAAGATACACATCGAAAAATTTACAATAAGGACAAAATATAACTGTAGGCTCACAATGTGACTGAGAACCCTTGCTATGCGTGTCAAACCACGCCCAATATAGGTTTTCGTGGCATGAAAAATGTTGATTTTATTGACCGCAAAATTATGTTTGTTTTACATACTGGTTATACGTAAGACAATTTTACGAATGCAGTTAAGTAAAATGTTTATTTTAATTTTTGTAATTGACTGTGTAACTGTTTCCAGATTATGACAGCTGTATAAGAGTATATTAAATAACAAATTCGATATCAGGTTAACAGTTTCAATAAATTATACAATTTAAAATGAAAGATAAAATACCTAGACCATAAATACATACTATTTAAACAGATGCAATAAAATCGCAGAGCCACGCCATTACAAACAAATATTAACATTCTTTAATAAAAAAAACTGTGGTCCGTTCTATGAACAACTGATGCATATTATTTTACCAAGCTTGTTCTTATTTATTTTGCACTGTGCTTAGATATTGGGGGAAGAAACTAGGGAGTGTGGGATTTTCACCTTACTAAACCCTCTCTAGTGGCCACCAGGGCCAGGGCAAAAGAGAAATTATTAGTGAATAGTGTTTTAAATTAACATAAAAGACGGACATTAAGAACAAATTCAATCACCATTCCTATTGCCTCAGACCATATTCTTGACATACAAGCAACTAGCAAAACACGGCAAAAATGTGGAGCAACGTTTTCTTTTAGTTTTAAAGGAACTACTACACTAGGTTTCTTAGTGTTGGTGAGCAATTTACAAGAGCTGTGACATCGCATCTTCAGTCTGCATGCGACCACGAACTGTGCAACCAGGTCGAAACGTCAAGCCTAGGTAGGCCAAGGTATTTTTACTTTTTTTAAATTATATGTTGTAAATATGAGATGCGAGGGTTTAAAAGTTTGTATTAGTGAGCAATGTTTTGGCACGAGTGGGCCAGCTCGACCGGAGTGAAAGAACAACAGAATTGCGTTTTGCCATATGAGTGAGGTTAAATCTCCAAAAGCAGTTTTGGTCATCCATGCGTCAATCAATCAATCAGTCTGCTCGTTTGCCACCATATCACATAAAAAAAGTTTTCAATCAAAAATTACCTGTCATATTACGTAACACCAAAAAAAACAATTAACAAGAAAAAAGTTTGTAAATCACGAAGCTTATGTAATTGGATACTACACTGGCATTACATAACAAATCTGAAACAGTTTGTTTGTTACCCAATTTCAGGGGAGAGGTCGATTTCAGTGAAACATTATACCTCCGATATAAATCATGGGAGGGAGAGGACTAAGGATATTTTTCCCCGGAACTCAATTTGGGGCCTCCGGAGACTCCCATCATTGGTTCTAAAGTAGGTAACTGAAAGGCGAAGTTTTCAGCAATCATATATCACTGTCTTCATATTGGTTGAAGATAACTTAGTTTCAAGCTGTTCGCAAGTTATGAAAAATTGGTAGATTTTCAGGTTTTCAGTTTCAAGCCAATTGTCCACTTGGTAGTTTGATTTTGAGTTTTTCACTGAGATTGGATTTTATTTTTAAAGTTCATTTTGTTTTTTATTCTCGTTTTCTTGTTATCAATAGAATATAAGTATTTGAGATCATAATTTGTTTGTTTGAATAAAACAATATTTAATGTGTAAATGTAAATTCTAATTACCGAGTCCTAATTAACACGGAATCTGGATAAAACGATATAATAATTTATTAGTGATTACATCATGTAAAATAGTCGTTATGTTTCATTATGTGTAGTTATTATGTTTCATTATACCACAAATATTAATACGAAACTAGAGACTCGCCCCCGCTTTGCAGGTACAATGCTGATACTAAATTTATCCATATATCTATTTAATGGATGTTATCTATTAAATCTATAATATCTATCACTCTATCTATTAAAAACCGCATCGAAATCTGTTGTGTAGTTTTAAAGATTTAATCATACGTAGAGACATAGGGAAAAAAGGCAATTTTGTTTTAAAATATGAAGTGATAACGAAAACATCAATACATTATACGTACGCGATAGTTATCAAATTTTCAAATAGACTTACCGGTACACAAACGTCTGAAGTAGAATTCGAAAGACTTTTGATTTCCAAGCTCCCTGTATATTCATCTAACAGGCCACATAAATTTTGACCACCCTCTAAATTGTAATGTTCCACAATTGTCGACAGCTGCGGAAACCACAACCGTATAACGTTGTGTCTGCAAAAAAAGAAACAGCCTGTATATTCATCTATCTTTAGCAAGTAATTTCCTGTGGAAAATTGTCGCCACGATTGCTTTCACCAAATTTTATGCTTTAAGTTCAACGTCAGAAAGTTGAAAATGTGTTCGTAGTTTAAATGTCAAATTAATACTCGAAATAAATTGAGTTGATGTTTTTTAATTTGTGACTTAACATACTCGTGTTTGCTGTACGCTTAGTTGTTGCGAAGTTGTACAGTTTTATGTATGTAATATGTTTGTGGTAGTAATAAAACGTGGTTAGCGTTGTACATATTTAAATTGACAATTTAGGACCAATGTAGGATTGAACATTGAGAATAGATTGCTAAACCTCAAAAAACGGAAAGATAAGTGCTTCCGAAGAGTTTTTAGTCAAAAATAGAATTCTAAATCTCAAACAGAGCAGTCGCATTTTAGACTACACAGCCAAGCAAGTAGGCTTAAATCAACAAAAATAAAAAACAATCTAATTGAGCACGTATTTTTGTGGCTGGACAGGTACAGCTTTCATGAGATAGGTACTGGATTGAATTTTCGAAGCCTTTAACGCTTTGGCTGAGGGGCAGACGAAAAAAATCCAGAACAGCGTCAAATGGGTTGAATCAGGCGAAATAACCCTTTGAGTCTGGAAACGTGAAGTTGAAAGAAAAAAAGACGCCCAGGTGAAAAATCGGGGCTAATACCCTCTCTCACTTTCCAATCCTATGAATTGACGTTTTAGACTAAAAATATTATCACGATCAATTTTTGATATGCTATTTTTGTATTCACTAGTTAAGTACAAAAGACATTATTCTTTGACTTAAAATTTTATTTTTTGAAATTATTTTGTCATTATATATTTTATAATATTTCCTATTGAGTGTAGGTAAACGCAGTGCAAGTATAGTCTGTTTATCTTAAAAAAACCTATGATTTTTTTGCATTGTGCATATTAAATTATGTTTTACGAGTTACCTACCCGACCAGTTGCAAGTAACACTAAGAGCTCACAGTTAGGAGCAGAATTGTGCGACAAATGACGCATTTTTTCTGACAGAATCAAATCAGAATGACATTCACGTCTCCTCAACTCTAACGAGAGGGTTTTATTTATAAATTTACCAGCAAAAATTGCCATATTTAAATCACTTACCGCACACTGCTTCACTGTAATGTTGGACTGTGACGTCAGAGTACAGTAGCGTCATAAAATTAACATCAATACAAAGCTGCAAATTTCTAGCCTTTTCCAAAGTCATCTACAATTCCTAAAAGCATAACATTTATCACGCTTTTTGTTACCTAGTTGAAAAACCCTATACACATTTTCAACAAAAAAGAATTTAAAGTTATTGGAAATAAAAAGCCCAATTTTATTTATTTTAACCGGATTTTCGAATCCAGAACTTTACTTATAACTTTAAGATCTACATGGGAGTGATAAAGAGAGTTAAAAAGAAAAATTATTAAGTGCATACGTACGTTCCAAGAGTAATGAATTGCATTACTGCAATTAAACACAAATATCCCAACAGAGGTCTTCTCAGTAACGGTTTCATGTTCTTAAGTGACATCAAAATTTTCTTAGTGAAATTTACTTTAACTTCGCCATCAGATTTGTCATTTTCAGCCTCCTTAATCTCTTTTTCAAATATATTCTTATACTAGTAAACAAAAAAAAAAGAAAGATTAAAACATTTGTCGTGACAAAAGTAAAGGCAAAGAATCATAATTAAGTTTTTCTCTTATTTTTCCTTATAAAAATGTTGCGTTTATACCATTCGTTTTCACAAGTTTTAATATACTAAGAAAATGGTCATAATTAAAGAATCCAAAGTCAAAGTATTATATTGTAGTCTTTGGTCAAAGTAAAAAATACTAGTAAAAACTACACCTCACACAGGTACTTTTGAAACGTGAAAATGTATGTAATAGGATAGGCACTTTAAATTTATACAAATATTATTCTTTATTAATTTGTTTAAATATATGCCTAAAATAGAGCCAATGTTTACTATTCCTATGGCACTTATACTTCGTTATATGACCAATAATTGTATGTAAATATTATTTTTATCTGACAAACCCTGGACTTATGTACTGTAAATGAAATGTTTAACAGATTTTACGACACAACCGACAACAGTTTAGTAATAACATAATGAATGGGTAACAATTTAAGAAATCACAAAGGGAATACATTAAAGCCATTAAGGCGCGCAGACCTTTCAAATAATTTATATAAAACCGGAACAAAAAGAGACAAAGAGAAACCTCCGTCTCACCTTTTCTTTTTGAATAAGAAAACAAGGAGCTTCCTTTTAGAAGTATTCCCAGATCATAGTATAACATCAGAAATTCGTATATAAAATGCATTATTCTCACCGGAAAAGTGTCGGCAGGTTTTCCTGTGTTCTCGGAATAAACTTGAATCAAAATATTCTTCGCTTCGACATATCTTTTCTGTGTTACCAAATATTTTGGACTTTCTGGCAAAATCATGTACAGTAAGAAGGCTGTTAGCGACCATAAAGACATTATAAGTAGGTAAAAATTCCAAATGTTAAGTACTGAAAAAAAAAGTAAAAAAAAATTTACACTTTGACTATTATGTTAACCAATTTAAATGTTATTTTTCTTTTCTTAAAAATCTGAAATAGAAAAACAACGAAATATTTTAAACTTTTTCTAGAGGTGCAACTATGTGTAAATAAGTCAAAATTAGCATACATAGCTAAAAAAACCAAAATAATTTTCATAACAATGAAAAAAAAGTAACAAGAGAAAATTTACGTTTAAAGGAAATTGTTAAATAAGATCTCTTACCAAAACGGCCTCCAAAGAAGCTATACTTCCAATCCTGTATGAGTATACCCCAAGCCATGGCTGGTGATAGAATCTGCGTAAGAGCAGCAAATGAGGACTGACAAAGCATAACACGATCTCTCACTGACGTGTGACAAAATTCTGACGTCAGCGAAGATATTGCTGCTAGAGATGTCGCAAATCTAAAAGAAAAGGAATACATACTAATGTAATTATAAAAATATACCTACAACTGTAAAATGTGTTTAAAACTGTACTTTGTCACTGGGTTGTACTTATAACTTTTTTAATGTTAATGAGTGATGGAGCGAGACCAACTTATTTAGCAGAAATAATTTAAATCTAGACAATAAGGTATCTAGCTTCACCAGTAGTCAAGAAAGTTTAAATAACTAAAATGTCTAAAGACAAAACTCAATTCAGAGAAATGAAGTTATTAGTTTTGCCACTTCTCTTTGTGTTCTACAGTTTAAAAAACTTAAAGCATTGAAAGGACAATGACCAGACAAATTTTGTCTTTTTACCAAAACTTTATTGAAAAATGTACCATCAATTTTCTGTTAACTCATCTTCGTCTCAAAATAAATGAAATCCTTTCGTTATTCTTTCATATCAAAATAATATTTTAAGTTAAAATAAACGTCGAAAGATTCTTTTCAGCTCCCAAATCAATTCGAGTGCACTTCTTGTCCTTTGCCAATATTATTTTAACATTTTTAAGATAGCTCTAAGTTATTGAAGAAATATGAAAGACAATTGAGTCTAGAATCGAGTAAATAGAATTTGATTCGCTAGAATCAAATTCTGTTTGAATCGCTAAAATCAAATTCTATTTGTCTATAATAAATAGCCAGCTATGGCTATTTTTGAGATTTGATATACCTTCACCTTTAAACAAAAAGATAGATCGCTTGAGGGGTCATGTATACTTTAAAAATATAATAAAAATACTTTAAACTTATTATAATGCTCTGTAAGTGATGAAATTAGAAAAAAAAAAACAAGTTTAAAAACCTACATACAACCTACATTCTTGAGATTAACTTCCAACCAAACACTCAAAACGCGATTGAATTTGGACCAACTACATCAATAACATGTGCCGGAATTAAATAAGACAAAATTTTAACTCGATGGATACAATACAATTAAAAATTTCACTATCAAGATCCACCACGCTCATAATATACTCGATCAAATACCAAAAAGATATATCGTATCTAGTTACAGCAGAAGACCATAGTTTGGGCCAAGATAATAATTCTGTCAGTGTTTTGGGCACACGACCAACAACCCGAGAGTAGTGCTCAAATACTATATTATTTACAGTTTTGGATGCTACTAGCGATGTCGATATTGAAGTTCTGTCTCAGATAATATATCGAGTTGGCAGAACACTAAGTCTACACAAGTCTATTGAAATGATAAAAGCAATAATACATATGGCATTCACGTGAGATGATGTAGTGTTGTCTGAGTAAGATGGATTTCGTTTAATCGATTTCATATATTTTTTCTTCAATATAATATTTATTATTTTAGTAAAGCTTCTTTTTCGCTAGAAATGATATTAATACAATTGAAATTGGAATATAATATTCAAGTCAAGTAACAGTTTTTCTAGCCTTGCTCTATCTAGCTTATGTATTTTAAAATTTCAAACTCTGTATAAATTTTGCAGTTCTTCATCCTCTTCGAAAAGCACTGTTCTCAAATGATATTCCTCGTCATTCAATTTAAAATTTACTTCAAACTCGAGTCTAGTGGCTTGTTAAATAAACTTTCCACTTAAAAATTCCCGTTGAAAAACAAAGTGCGGATGGAAGAAAAATACTGAGTTGCCTGCTTATCTCAACGGTCTAACGAATCCGTCAGAGAGCGGAATTATTATGATGCTGGGGTGACAAGCTCCTAACCTCGTTTTATCTTCACGCTCTTTTAAACTTAAGGGTTTAGCAGGGCCTTTTAATGTGGGTAGGTGAGTTACCCTGGTAAGTGTGTCGGAGAGACGAAAATTTTAAATTAGGTGAGGTAACTTTGTGAGTAAAGTTTTGGGCATATCTGGTATTAGCTCTTGACAAAAAGTCTCTAATTTTTTGTGCCAACATTCTTATTTCTCTTTTGTCTGTTTCAGGTACGTTGGCGGTTGTTTTTGAAGACTAGAGATTGGCATGTATATGGAAATCACATACATAATATAAATTTCTCAAATTACTAATGCATGTTTTCTTCTATAAATTTTTTAAAATACTCACAGTATACCTTCACAGAGTTTTGCAGCGGCTAACATCTCATAGGTCTGACTGGACGCGGAGAATAATGTACATAGAAATATTCCACCAAATCCAATCCTTAGGAAATATATTCTACCAAACGTGTCAATCAATAAACCAGCTATAACTGTTGACACGAACATACCTGGAAATAAGGAAGCAATAAATGTTTCTTCTGAAGTTTGCACGTTTTGCTATAGAGAATATTGTACGGAACAATTTTATTGTGTGCTCTTCAAATTGTTCTAGGTCTGAGAGTTGTGTTTGGTATCTATGTGGATGTTTGTTTGTCACATCGACAATCACGTCTGGTAACCTTAATGTGCTCTTTGAATGAAAAGCTTTTAATTTAATTTTAAATTTCTTAGTTTCGAAATTATGGCATGTAATATAGTGTGAGGAAGCACATTGGTGTTTACTTAGGATTTCGAGTGGTGAAAACGCGACGAAGCGATGATATCACAGAGGTCACTGGTGTTGAAGATTAGAAGGTTGCAAATAGAATGGAAAATTATTTCCAAAATCGTTTCTATACTTTTGTTCTCATGTCAACTCACCGAATGGAGGACCAAGGATTAACGATAAATAAATAAGACAGAAGTATCATTAATGCATATTCATGAGACAAGAGACACCAATTCAAGCTCTATGCGAATCACTCCATTGCATGTATATTCTGATATTGTACGGAACAAACATTTACCTGAATTATTAGCCAGGTAAACTAGTAGATCTAGAACTAACAGTACACAGCGGTAAGTGAACAGACTTGACTGTATATGGGATTTATGATATAACGTTGGCGAAAATTTGGTGATACGTAAAATGTGTGTTTTGGCTACCGATCAGTCTAATATTGAATATGGTACAAGGGTTTTTACAATGGGTCTAATTATTTTTTTTTGTTTTTGATTGCTTAATTTGGCCTTTTGTATGAGTTTGGTACGAATACGTAATAAGTTGTAACAACATACTTTTTGCTCCAAATAGCAAACTTACATTTCAATTATCAATAAATGTGGTATGTCTCAAGACAGTTAATATTAAATGAAACAACGACTTTATTTTTGTAAATAGGCCATAAAACAGCACTTGTATATAAAAACTAATCAAATAGTCAAATTGTATATAAAAACTAGATGAAGCCGGCATTTTTTTTTTCAGACTAATCTAAGAAGAAATGCCAAAACAAACGATGTTAATGTACAAAATTTTTACTAACCAAAATAAGGCATAGCAGTCAACAGCCCCTTCTGTTTGAGATTCATATTCAGGTCACATTCTGCTATCGGCAATAAATACGAAGTTGTATTAGTAACTAGGATACTGGCGATGCATCCAAAGAAACTCACAAATAGAAGTTTCACATGAAACCGGCCAAATTTGCTCAGTTCATAAGCTTTGTTGATTTCTTGCATAGGAGTTACTGGTTCTGTAAAGAAAGAAAGAGAATTATTATAAAGTAACAAAATATCAGTTCCTAAACAGATGCGATGCGACGTTGCGCAAATACTCAAGAAGAGCGATTCAAAAAATAACTTTATTTTCTACATGAAAAGGTACACATTTAATACGATAGCCTAAACACTCATTGTCCAGCAGTTCAATCCCTAATAACCCACATGAGGCCGGCACGCCTGACAAGTCTAGTAACTGTTGTAACTTTTGAAATTGCAAGTATCCATATACGGCATTAATTGCTTACCATCAGGGAATCTGTATTTCGTTTGTCGACCTTTGATGTAAATTTTTAATTTTCTACTTAGCTATTATAACAAAGCTAACACTATAGTTAAAAATAATCAAAACTGGGTCTGTTATCCTGTGCTACCTACCCCTGTAGGGATTATAGGTATGATGGTATTATCGTTATATTATACAACAATAATATCGTTATTCAAAACAGTTGTACGCTATTGTTTACACCCCAATGTACCTATCTAACGCAATCATTCAACCTCAAACACAATCAACACTCAACAAACAACTCTAGCTTCGGTACGTAAGAGGAGTTTTGCATTAACACGAGTAAAAGTGACTGACATAGGGCTGTCCGTAAGATCTTATTTCCTACATAAAAGATAAACATTAATTTCCATAAGCTTCTTGCTACTTTAGTACGTAAAGCCGGGTCCAAAAGTAATGTTGAACTAAATTTTATATTAGGCTCAGCCATAAGGGTCAAGTTGGACCAAAGAAAGGATTATGATGACCGATGGTGTACCCGGCTGATCCCTAAATGCTTTTCTACTATGATATTTTACGTTTCAGTTAAGTAAATACATGTTTTGTAAGTGAATACTGGAGTGGAAAATTTTTAATTTGCAAAATCTACCTTAAATATATTACAATTTGAGTCGCTATTTAAAACAGAAAAATAATTTGTGATGGACCTTCTTCATAAATCAATTTAAAATATTATTATTTCTTTGAAAAGTACGTGGAAAATGGGTGCTAAAAATACCTACGCTATAAAATAAAATATGAACAATTCGTAGAAGCAAGTTCAACTGGCCATTTGCTCCTTTTGTGCACATTTTTACGAATAATTGCATTTTTAAAATAGAAAACCTTAACAGACTTAACAGAGTAGGTAAGGCTTCCTTTGTTTTCTTTTGAAGACAATAAAATATTTTTTTTTGGGTTGAAAATCATCAAATTAGTTCTTACGCCCAGGCTGAGGCAAAAGGGAGTGTCAGACTGTTACTGACTAAACCCCCGTACCTATCCTGCTCTAGGTCGAGGATTCTGTACCATAACCACGGCATATTCTTGAGATACGTACTCCGACGTATCTCAAGAATAAAAACTGCATAACAAAGAACTAAATACTAGCTACGACTCACAATCATAATTATTTAAAAAGAAATAGTATTAATTATCACACTTACAAATGAACTAGACACGTCTAAGACAAACCAAACAAGCATAGGCCAGACGAGACATATTTATAGGTATAAACGAAGAAGAAAAATAAAATAATTATTACGTACCTACGCTGTCAGCAACATGTATATTCAAATCAGCCATTTTGATCAAAAACAACTAATAATCAAATAATTACAATTCACAAAACAATAAGATTTCATAATAATTACTCTTACACTGAACATTATTATACTACTGAAATTATTCCAGTGTAAAGCCTTATTTTGTAACAAGGTCCTTGATGAATAATTAATCACCAGTTAATTCTGAGCTCTCATTTCCCTCGAGAGCGTTACCTTGCAGCTCAACTTAAACTGGACTAGTTATCTCTATGTAAATTTTAGATAAAATTACAAAGTAACTTCCTGTAATCTCATATTTGTATATTTGATAGAAATTATTTATTTTGATAAGTTGAGAAATACGTAGTGCGCAGAAAACTGTATCAATGTTTGTATTCTAATGAGTAACTATTAATATGTGGTACCTAATAGTATAAATTTAAGACTGATTCATACATTCACAGATATTATGATATGAAAGACTAAGATTTTATAGTATTCGAAAATTCTAAGTTTGTAGCCAATTCATAGCATTCTAGGCACGTCAAGAAGACGTTCCTTTTATTCTAACGAAGTCCAAAATAGAAAATGTTAACAGAAATATATAAAGTTATTAAGTGTTCCGTTGTCTATACTAACATTATAAAGAGGTAAAATTTGTAAGAAAGAAAAATAATTTATTACTAATAAATTACTTTTCTTTCTTGGTTTGTATGTAGGGGGTAAAGTTTGGAACCGCTGGTCGGTTTTCCAAAATTCTTTCACTGATAGATAGCTACAATGTGCCTGAGTGCTACATATAGGCTATAAAGCATTACGCTACGATTAAATGAAGCCGAGCAGCGGGTGAAACCGCGCGAGAGTAGCTAGTAGCAAAATAATTCACCTATGTACAGATACCCAAAGTCAAAAACCGTTACGAACGCTTAACACCCTCTTTTTAAGGAAAAATCATCAAATGACTTCTCCCACCATGGGAGAAACCCCCCCGTTCCCTCTCTTGCCTTACGCCGAGGCTTCTTGCGCTTGCCTCGCAAACCCGGCTGAATGTACATTCCCCGTCTGATGCTTAACACCCTTAGATGTCTAAATCGTAAAAAGTCACATTGGTTCTTGACAGATTTCAAACCCTTACGAAAAGTCACCTTAACCTTTGTGCCACTAAACAAAAACTAAGAGTTAAATAAAATTCGACTAATAGTCTAAATGTGAAGGTGAAAATGTTTGTTGTTCGGTCACGCAAAAACCGCTGAACCGATTTGGTTGAAATTTAGTATGTAGATAGGTGATACCCTTTTTATGTCAGGCGAAAATCATCAACTGACTTCTACCGCCCAGGGTAAGGCGAGAGAAAGTTCCAGGCTCTTACTGACTAAAAACCCCCAGTTCCTTCTCCTGCTTTAGGCCGAGGCCGCGGTGCCACAAGGTGGATACCCTGAACTAACACATAGTCCGCTTTTTATCAACATAACACGTCGGTGAAGCTGCGGGTGGAAGCTAGAAACAAAATAAAACCTACATGCGAATATCTAGCACCCTAGCCAAAGTACATCAGCAACGCCATCTATAGAACTGACTGCGTCACAGAGCATATACAAAACCATTTAGTTACGCCATCATTTTCAACATAGTATTAGGAAAAACGTGCCTAAACTTTATCAATTAAGCAGTGACCTTTAGGTCGTTCACCTTTTTTAATTAGGGTCAAGCTGAAGGTGTTGCCTAGGTACGCACTTACTGTCAGGGATAGTTTAGAACTGCTAAAGGCTGTTCTAGATGTTAAGGTGGATTGTGTTCTATTAATATGGCAATTTTAGTTCTTCTTTCGTTTCTTCTTCTTTCGTCTTTCGTTCTTTCAGAATATTTTCCAATTTCTTTTACGAATCCGATTTTTTATTCTGTTTTTTTCTCTCTATTCAAAGTAGTCTGAGACTTTGTCTAGGTTTCAGAGGCAGACGAATTGCAACTCTAAGTCTCAGATGTTAAGAGTTAAAACAAGTCTTACAACAAACTTAAACTTGAAACCTTCTTACTAAGGAAACACGATTATAAAGTGATAAATCACCCAACTGATATTACCCAAAACATAGTTTAGTTCAAAATTGAAACTTAATTACTTTGTAACAAAGTTAAATTCATCCCTGAACAGTACAAATTACCTATCAATCGAATTACCACACCTTGCGCAATATCCAGAGACGTTTAACAGAACATTCATCACTACTTAAACAAATATCTACCGTTTATGTAAACACCACAAAATGCCACCGAATACGTAGATTACAAACGTACATGTCGTGAGTAATGCTGGGTAAATATTTATTAAATAATTCAGGTTCCGCATAAAACCGGCAATGGATTGGTATACACGCGATAATCACGCGCCGCGCGGCACTTTGTGCTACCAAAACAGGCATTCATGAAATAGTTATAAGATGGTGTTACTCCCTTGAATTAAGTCCCATTTATACTGGTTGAGGTGTGGTGCAAGTGCGCGCGATGAGAGGCAGGTCGCATCTAGTTGAAATTTTGTATAAAAAGATTATATCATTATTTAATTAACTTCTATAAGCGACTTCGACTGCAGAACCAAAGAGATCATTCTAGACTATAAACTATCTTAGTGCCAAGATCTGTTTAGCACTTTTTGCGTGACAGAGTAACGAAAGTATTTCCATACTTACATACAAATTTCCACGGTTATAGTTATGATATGATATTGGGTTGTAACCAAAATAAGAAAGATCGGTGCTAAACAACAAATGAAAACCTAAAATTGTAGTTAATACGTTCAAATATGTATTTGCAAACGTTGTGGAATATATTTTAGCCTTTTGATATAAGACTTTATTTTTTTAGCAACTGTCGTAACCCATACATTATTAATATAATTCTTTTTTAATGAAAGATATCATTAAAAAGCATATACTTATTTTAGTGCACACCACAAAATTTCTCTTTGCATACTGCAAAACCACTAGAACTGTGACCACACATTGACCTGTGTACCTACAGCGCATAGCACCAGAATTACTCATTCGCTAATGGTGTCCGTGTTTCACAACGAACACCTGGGCCCGAACTGTTGCAGCAACTATTACTACAACACATATACAAGAAAGTAAATTAGATGTGTTTATATTTTTGTTACAACTAGGAGTATGTAGCGTAATATAAAATTGAGAACTTGAACTGGGGGATAACCACGACATTCAAAGTAAGAAGGTTTTAATCTTACTTCAGTGTGGGTAAGAGAAAGAGCTATACAAGTTGTCTAGCTTTGTCTCTTACCTACACTGAAGTCATGGTTAGCCCCCTGAGCAAATAAAAAACATTTGATCGTTAAAATCGTTTATAAAATGTTTTCAAATCGACCCTTGGCTTGTCTTACCCTGACGACGGCTATTAGTTTGGCTATTTAGTTTTCTCTTTTGAACGTGGCCTGATGAGAATCACGCGCATCAATTCTTAGAGGCCTAATTAATCAGAGGTTTTCATTTCTTATCCCTTACTTTTTTAATTTAAATTAGTATGTAAGAAAGTAGTATCTAAGGTAGAATGAAAGACGATCTCCAGCCAACGTAAGCGCTGGTCTGCGGACCTGCGCCCGTCCAGAACCAGACCCGAGCGAACGGCGCGTAGCGTTACGCGCGCCTCAAAGAGCTAATAGATCACGACAGACTCTATAGAGCTCTCTAGGGCTGATGTGCCGGGTAAGCGCAATGAAGCACCGCGACCCCGGCTTAGAGAGAAGGAGAAGGAACGGGGGGCTTTTAAACAGTAAGAGACTGACACTCCCTGCCGCCCTACTTTGGGCGGGAAGAGTCATTTGGTGAACTTTCCCTCACAAAAAAAAACGTAGATACTACATTGGAAATTTGTAAGTAAAATTTAAGTCTTCAATTGAACTGGCAAAAAATAATTTAAAGCTGGAGTATAAAAGGAGTTTGTACATAACCTAAGTCATTATTCAATATGAAAATTGTTTTAATTCAATAGATTAATGATCCTGTTATTGACCCCAATCTCATTTGGATAAAAGCAATGTATAAAATTCACGATGAAACTGGTTTACGTGAAAGCGCTAGATCATTCATTCTACATACTTTTGACACTAAAAATAATTGTTATAAATCTATTGATTTTAAAGTTGTATCTGAAATATAGACTAATAATTTCTGATTATAAGTTTTTTTGGCAATCCGCCTTGAGCAATCGAGGTGATTAAAGCTGAAACCTTATCCATGGTCCGTGGAGGTCTTTGCTCAGCAGAGCCCCCGATGCCTTAAACAGCAAGACTAAGAAATTCAACTAATTAATTCGCGTTGTCAGTAATTCAGGGCCTCGTATCTGCTATTACTCGTACAATAGTGTCAGAATAGTATTTTTTCGGTTTTGTATTGTATTTTTTCGGTTTTGTAGTATTGTTTGGTTTCAAAATTGTTGATTTTGACAAGTTTGGTAATCTACTAACACGATAGCGGCATTATGACTTTCCAATGCCACTTCATTGAAATAATTCTTAAGAATGGTAATCTCGTACGTAATGACAAACGAATATTTGACATAATGCGGTAAATGAATAAAAAAATGTCAATTCCTTTATTCAATGATTTACGTTTAGAACATTAATGTGCAGTTATTGTTTATAATTCGTTACAAGACATCTTGTACTATAATTCTATTACGACATCGCCGAACGCCAATGATCAGCCATTTTGAATTAACAGATTACAAACTTTTAGCAAAATGATAATGGAATCGTGTAGGAATGACCACACTTTGAAAATAGTAGACTCGGCCCCCCGGTCGTTTGTTTAATGGCTACTTAAGCTAGATGATTATGACGTATACATATGTATTTTGTTTTCCGTCAAATATTCATCATTGTATTTGCTCAATAAAACTAGTATCTATGCCATTTAATTCAAAAAACATAGAAAATCTCTATGCAGACTATAGCTAAGGGCAACAACCAGAATTATTATAACTGACGGGAAGGAAAAAAATGCAAAATGGCGGAGGTCGGCCCCTGCTCGTTAATACAATATGTAAATTTTGTCTATCCCAAGGTTCGCTGATTGCGATAAGACCGCCCCAGTAAATTACCATTTTATAATATTTCTCTATATCTATATAATACATATTTTACTGTGTATTCAAAAGGTTTTTGTTTTTT